CAGGATGGGTGGCAGTAACATGTACCAAGATGGGCAAGTCATTGGGAGGAAACAGTTTGTGGGGAGATAAAAACACTTGTTTTGGCTGAGCTTTGTTTGGGATGCCTGAAGAACATCTGGGTGGGGATAGCGCATAGGCAGCAGGATGTACTAGTCTGAAAGAGAGAGTGGAAGCTGTGCACTTGGGAATTCCCTGAACAGAGATGGTAAAGATGCCAAGAGGAATGAAAGAGAACACCTAGAGCAATGTGAGAATAAAAAGAGAAGGAAGGAGAAGGAGAGAGTTGGGGGGGAAAGGAAGTGATGACAGTGGACGGAAAGGAAGTAATAGAGATGGAAGCCAGGTTGGAAATGACTGGAAATTAAACGAGACGAGGAAGCAGAGATTTAATACAGTCAAACTTTTAAACAAGTTGTGCTGTCAAGAGGAACAGAAATAAAGGGTGTTAGATGGAGGAAGATTTGAAGCCAAGGGATACAGGATTGTGCTGGTGTTAATCAAGATAAGCCTTTTAGAAAACAGGCAGACTTGTGCCAGGGAGGAAAAGAGTAAGGACAGAGAGCATGTGTGCAGTGCCGCACAGTTTTCAGGGTCTGTTCTCATGCGTGATGGCACCTTTCCTCACGATAAAAGTCAGTAAGATGGTCATGGGAGGTATAGTTATTGCCTTTATTTATAGGTGAGGAAGCTACAACTTTAAAATGTCAATGATTAATGTAAGTTTCTGCTGATGGCCTTGCATGGGCCCAAGTCCTTAGATTCTAAAGCTTTTCCGTGTATTCTGGTAATGAGTTAGAGTTTGATTTATTTAACATGGTCACTCTGGATGTGAACTGTCTGTGGAGCAACACGGTGGAAGCAGAAGAGTATAGTGATTGAAGACACTGAATTTGAAGGCAGGAAAGCAGAATTCTCCAAATTCAAGTGCAATCTTTGACATTTACCAACCATGTGATGGTCAGGAGGTAAATTAACCTTTAGTTTTCTCAATTAAAAAAATATGCTCACATTTCCTGAGCCCTTTTTAATG